TGGGGCGCGTGCCCGCGGCTTGCAGAGGCGAGGCGGCGGGCAGGCCGGGGCGCGAGGGGAAGGCGGGACCCGGGCGCGGGCGCGGCGCGGCGCGGCGCGGCGGGGCGAGCGCACGGCGGGGCCAGGCTGGGCTGCCGGGCGGCTGGGGGCGGGCCGGGGCGCGAGGCCGCGCCTCCCTCCCTCCCTCCCACCCGCCCGCGCGGAAGATGGCCGCGGAGGCCTGGGGGCCCGGGGCTCGCGGGTGCGGCGGCAGCGTTCCCGGCTACCCTACCCGTCCCTACCCCGGTCGGCCTGCCCGCCGCCTCGCCTCTGCAAGCCGCGGGCACGCGCCCCAAGGGTGGGGTGCCCGAGTCGGGTGGGCCTGATCCGAGGGGCTGGGAAGGGACGGTCCCTGGGCGGGGCGCCCGGAAGCCTATGGAGCCTACGCGCGGCGGGAGCGGTCAGGGATGCTGAGGCGCGGCGGGGGATGCGCGCGGAACTGTGGCTTTCTGGGGCGAGTGGGAAAAGAGAGCCGCCCCCCAACTCTGAAATCCACTGAAAAGCGAAAGGCTCCACCGGGCGCACACGTAGAGCTTTGATGTCATTTTAGCAGATCAGAAGCGCAGAACTTCAAACTGAGAAATTGTGTTGTAGGAAGTTCCTAACCTAGGCAGACAGGAGAGCCCGGCTGTGGTTTGCTTGGTTCTAGGCTGAGAAACAAAACCAAAACCAAGAAGGGACACCAGCGGACATCCTCAGTTGATGTGTTTATTTGATTCATTGTTTGCTTCACCGCATTGAGTGCCTTCACGCCAGCTGAGGTTGGGCGCGGGGGTAAAGCCAGAACAGGGCCCCTGCGGCATGTCGACAACTGCCTAATGGGAAACCTTCTCATTAATTAAAGAAGCATGCTATTAAAGGAATCATTAAAAACGGAATATGGAACTTTGAGAAACTGACCCTTCCAGTCCGTTTGCTTTCCTTCCAAAGGTAACATTTTATTCTAAGATTGAGCTAACTTTTGTAAATTACACATGTCCTCACCCCCAAGATTCTGGAACAAACTACAGGGTGTTAGCGGCTGGATCTAACTAAAGCTTTTGCCGACTGCGCATTACGGCCACGGCCACGGCCATCGTTAGCTAGCTGTGTCTTTATCTGCTGTCCCCAAGTGCAGCCACAGATCAGGGCTCTCTCCCCATTTGATGGCGCCTAGTCCCTCTTTTCCACTGACTCTCTTCTCACAGGGGAGGGGATTTCAAACCAGACGCCCTTGGGCTTCTGCACTCATACCCCACCTCAGTGGAACATCAGTAGATAGCCTTCAGCAAAGGCCTGAAGAGGAAAACTGATGGCTGGTGTGGAATAAAATGACATTCTACTTACACTTCTGCCAGCTGGTTGGTATTTCCCCTAGTTTGTTTGAAATCGGGAAGTAATTTAGAGACATCACACCCCCGTCCACACCTCCATGCTCTGATGACAATTCATCCTGGGCATTCCCCCCATCACCACCTTAGACCAAGCCAGCTTAATCTCACACCCAATTTTTATCCTTTCATCCCCTCCAATCCATTCTCCAGCTGGAGTGACTTCCTAAAATAAATCTGATGATGTAACTCAACTCTTAACAGCTGTTCAAGTAGAGACTTGCCTGAGGATGCCCCCAAGACTCCCTGCTTGACCCCATGACCACTGAGATCTGGCCCTCCTGATTCCTCAGCTCTAGTCTTCCACCCACACCCCATGCTGCTAAGCAGCATTCAAATTTGCAGTTCCTCAGTTGATAATGCTCTCTCTTGTGCCTGAGACTTTGCATCATAAAGGACTTCTGCTAGTCTGGAACACTCACCACTCACGCATTTCCTCCTGCCCCCCTTTCCTTTTGCCCCCCCCCCCCCCACAATGATATGGTTGAACATTAGTTCCTCAAATCACCAGCCTTCCTAACAAGCTTACCCTTCCTCCTCCCCCTCAGCCCCCTCATCCCCCATCCCATACCTGAGGTTAAAGGTCCCATGTTATCCTGCCTGCCAAGCCTAGTATATCCCGTGTATCTAACTATTATCTCCCCCCTTAGAAATTCACATAGTTCCTGTCATAGGGATTCAGTGCAGTGAGTGAGTAAATCAATGAATGAAAGAAAAAAAAACCCTTCCTCCATGAAGTTTTATTTGTATTCTCATTGCTCTAGTTCATTCATTTTCAAGTGTTTTTATTTTTTCTATTTTTTTAAAGATTTTATTTATTCAGAGGGAGAGATAGAGAGACAGAGCACAAGCAGTTGGAAAGACAGAGGGAGAGGGGGAAGCAGACTCCTCGCTGAGCTGGGAGCCAGACAGGGAGCTCAATCCCAGGACCTGGAGATCATGACCTGAGCTGAAGGCAGAAGCTTAGCCATCTGAGTCACTCAGACACCCCTCATTTTCAAATGTTTTTCAAACATCTACCATGAGTCAGCCATTGTGCTAAATGTCGAGTATGCAGGGGGAGCAAAGTCAGATCTGGTCCCCACTCTCGTGGCACTCACGCTAGCACCTTGAAGGGCTGCCCAGGTAATCAGGATAGAAAGCAGAAAGTAATGGATCCTGCGCACCTGCTCTGCCTCAGACCAGAAAAGGCAATACTGGGAACTTTCTGGAACGTGGACTTCATTCCAGTGCAAGACTGAGCTGCACCAGCCTTAGCAGAATAGAACTTAAGTAGGCCTGGAAACCAGATAAGCAATTACAAGACAGTGGGGGAAGTGTGATTCGCTATGAGGGGCCAGAAGGCTAATCTGGGAAGAAGTTCTCGAAAGACAATGCGTACAGCGGAAAATCACACTTCATGATGAGACATGTTGAAACAATGGCTCACAAACTACCACAATAATTCATTTCTAGCCAACATCTCTAGCTCTTCTCTCAGGGGATCATTTAGCACTTGCACAAAATTGACAACTAATGAAGAAGTTAACCTCCTTTGGATCACTGGGAGTGGTGAGGGGGCTGAGAAGTAGCTCCTCTTTGGGTTAGAGTGCCTGATTCATTTTCCTAATGATGACTAAAGCCAAGGAAGCAGGCCTGGCTCACCACTCCAGTGAGGGCAGAAGTCCCCTGAATCATAGGGGCTGTTGACACCCACACCAGCAGGGGGCTAAGTCATGCTTACCTAGAGTGGTGGCAGAGCTGTCTTCTTCCCAGCAAAGCTAAACTGTGGATGATATTTAAAAGTAATAATCAGACAACCTCTGTCCTCATAGAAACAGCATCCATGGGGGTGCCTGGGTGGCTTGGTCAGTTAAGCATCTGTTGCTGGGATCAGTCCCCTTCTGGAAGACAGTTTATCCCTCGCCCTTCGCCCCTCCCCCCTCCCCCTCCCACCTCCACCCCGCTTGTGTTCTCTCTAGCTTGCTCTCTCTCTTTCTCTCTCTCTCTCTCAAGTAAATAAAATCTTAAAAAAGAAGAAGAAGAAGAAGAAGAAGAAGCCTCCATATGTGCACATGCACTGTTTCTCTGATGCCTTGTACCTGGCTCATGGAACTGCTGGATCATGGAACTGTTGAGTCATCCAGAATTTTCTGGATCATTCAATGGCCTTCTTGATATTGTCCAGACATTAAAGGATTACCTCAGGTAGGAAGAATAACTTTGGACCCACCAATGGACAAATATTGAAAATAATTTCTCTGATATACCTCAATAAGAATGGATGAAATAAAAACAGATCTTTTTGTAACTTTTTTTTTGGCTTTCCATATCTATGGGGAGAAGGGTGTAGAGGTTATGAGCTTGGACTCTGGAGTGAGACTGTCTGGGTTCCTACGCTGGATCCTCTTCCTGGCTTTGTGATCCTCGGCAACTTGTTGAACCTCTCTGTGCCTTGAGCTTCTCGTCTCTAAATGAGGACGATGACAGCACCTACTTCCTAGTGTTAAACGTTAAATGCATGAATGCACCCTGTTTCCTTGAGTGTAAGGCATGCATTTTCACACTGAACATTTCTGAAGTTGAGGTGCGTTTTACAATTGACAGTGTGGCAGAGTTTAATTGTCACAGGGCTATGTGAAATAATGGTGCATCTTATCATCAGTCTTGTCGTAGATGTGATGAAAATCAGGATACAAAATAGAGCTTAGAAAAGTGCATAGTAAAAAAAGAAAGAAAGAAAGAAAAGTACATATCACCCAGAAAATACTATATAAATATTTAACAGATTATAGATACAAAATATAAATATAGCTCCTCTGACTTCATCAGAGCCAATCAGTATAGCTCATTTTAAAACGTTTGTCCATGTTGGCAGTGGCAGATCATGGCATGACTGATCCATTTGCCAGGAAGGAGAGAAACTGCTCTTAACACCTGGTGTGCTGTTGGAGGATACATCTGATATCCATCCCTGTGTCTTAGCAAGATCTCAGAAAGTACATATCTGAGAGCTACTGAGACACAGGTACCCTGAATGGGTTAATAAGGTGGCACCCCTCTAGGTCAATATGCTTTATCTATTTATTGGAGAGACTGGGTGCTCTGACATACAGCAGAGAAGTA